TATTGCATATACATATTCAGTTAAATTATAATTTTGCTGTGTATGTGCTATCTTGTCTCACATCTCTACATTTATTCTGCATTAACTTTAGTATTCAAAGGTAAAATTTTAATACTTTAAAATTTTTAAAATTCAAACACAACATCAAACTCAACATTTGGAAAAAACAGCTTTCAGAGATGCTCTGACATCGTGCAGATGTGTGACCTCAATGTCAGTCTTCAGCAACACTTACATACATAACAAATTATTAATAAAAATAATCCAAGATCTTTGACTGAAAGTTATCTAATACAATTCTCTTGGTAACAAACTGTTCTGAGATCTGCAGCTTTTCTGAACTTCTTTCCTCAGTGCAACAAGTTAGTTACTTCTTATCAATGTTACTGTGCTGCCACCATGTGGGCACAAGTTAAATTACAGCAACCAGTTGATGAGAACGTGTTTACACCCGAAATACGCATATAGGACTGAATGACAGTAAGTGATTTCTGTTGAAATATGCCCATTTATTTATCAAGAACTTCTGTCTATACTTTCTCTGCATATCTGTATATTTTATCTTAATTTCCTTTATCTTGTTTTTACTGATGGCTCAGATATCTTTCCTTTAATTTGATTGATTAATACTTGATTGATGGTAAAGTATGTTGTTTACCTTGTTTTCACTTTTCCTACTGATGGGTTACTTTATCTTGTTTTCTAAGGGCTATTCACTTTAGTGTCGAGTACTGTTGTCACTTGATCATGTTTTGTCCTCTTCTGTTGATTTTATGGTAAAGGGGGCTGACTTACTCATTGTAATCCAAATCTACCTACAGGTACAAATAAAGTTACCTTTACATTCCCTCCCCTTTAATTTAGGACATTTGAGCAGCCTCATATTCATCAGTGGTCCTACCAATTATAATTTCCAAGGAATTAAATCCAGGATTATGATTATTTTATCTTTTATCTCAGGATCCATGACACTCTCACATTTTCTTCAGTTTTCTTAAAATAATCACAATCTCTATACAGTAGGTGCTCTGGAGTTTTCACTTGTATCAGATAGTAGATGAGGATTCAATGGAAGATCATGTGTCCAGAGCAGCAACAGAAATGTAGCGTGTAGTGTTTTTTAAAACCTGTAACGTATTAATGAGCCCACAGTTTATATGTATTTATGCTCAAGAACACTAAAAATTCTCCTATCTTGTGTGAAGCTTGTCGTCTTAGCTCTGAACAAGCGCTTTGACCTTGCTGTAAAGCATCAGAGACAAGTGTTATCCTCAATAATCAACAAAAAGTACAAATAAAATGAAGAAATTCTCCATCTGGCCACATGGTGGAGTTAGAGTCCAACTTACAGAAACGTAGCGTTTCATTGGCAATGGCTTGATGTGACTTCTACTTCCTTATTACGCAATCTCAAAATTCTCTAAAACAGTCAGGAAACAGGTTTGCATTTTGACTGCAAAACTGCTGCACGATTTACAACAAGCCTGATTAATCAGCAGGTGGTAAGAACAGATTCTGAGCAGTTAGCACACACTTTATAGTCATTCATTTGCATAAAGACTTCAGCAGCACAGTACAGTATACAAGGTGACATTGTGTTCAGTGTGTTTGAGTAATGTTGTGACTTATTTTGCATATAGGCCTAATTATCTTGGTTATTTAAGATACCAGTCAAAATGTAAGCATTTACACAGGTTTTTGGCCAGTGTGTTGTCAAACTAGAGAAATACTGTCATGGTAGAATCATAATTTGAATACTTTGATCATGTTAATATAATGTGTGCTGTATCTGCTGGTAAATACTGTGTTCTTCAAGCTTGTTACTTCCTCATTTTTAGGAAACCTAGTTTGTTAACACATTTTGAGAACATGATGTTTCTTGAAATGTTTTGACGCTGAACTCTCTTAATTGGTCTTCAGAATCAGAATCAGAAACAGAATCAGAAATACTTTATTAATCCCTGAGGGAAACTTGTTTGTTACAGTTGCTCTAAAACCACAATATAGCAGTAGAAATATAGTTATATACAAGAAAATATTAATCAAATAGAATAGGAATGTAAGTACGATATCAAGAAATAAGTACAAGAAATATTTATACAAAGGCAAGACTACAACTAAGTACCAAGCGCATCTTAATATTAGTTTGTGCTGTACAAAAGCGCAGAGTGAGGACCATATGGAATATATACGCATATTTTCAAGATTATTGCACTGTTTGTTTCAATATTGTACTTTGTGTTCATGGACAGATTATTCATTATTATTATATTGCAGTTTTAAAAAATAATGAATTATGGTGGAGGTTACAGTTTTAAAATAAGATGTTGTAGCTTTAAGGTTAAAAAGTTGAATAAAGGCGGTGCCAGTTGCCTAGTGGTTAGTGCCTGCGCTGCGCCCAATGTATAGACGCTATAGTCCTAAAAAAAAGGCGGCCTGGGTTCAAAACCGACCTGTGACTTCTTTCCAACATGTCATCATCCCCTGTCTCTCTTTTTGAAATATATTTTTGGGGCATTTTTGCCTTCATTAGATAGGACAGCTGAAGAGACATAGGAGATGTGCTGAGGAGAGAGAGTGGGGGGATGACATGCAGCAAAGGGCCAAGATCAGATTCGAACCCCCTGCTGCTGCGACAAAGACTATAGCCTCTGCACATGGGGCGCCCGACATACCCGCTGGGATATCTCTAGCCACTGTCCTATCTCTGAAATAAAGGTATAAAAGTCCAAAAATAAATCTTAAACAAAAGGTTCAATTATTTGCCTTGAGAAAAGTTAATCATTAATCACTCGTAGGATTTGTGTATTTCAATTGTTGTATGTTTGTATAAAAACAGAAAATCTTATTAAATGACGACAATGGAGTTGATGTCATGGCAGCTTGGTTGGAGTAGGCGGGGGTCTGCTGCTTTTCATTCTCATACAATTTAAGGTATATCTATTTCAGTTGCTAATCAAAAAAATGTGTGCTTGTTTTCCGTCCAGGTTGACTCGTCATAGTTTCCACTGGTCATAAAACAAAGAAACAACATGTCTACCTAATCGTCCAGGGTTTCGTGGTTCAGAGTGCCGATACACATTCTTACAGAAAGACCTACAAAAGTCAGCTGGTATCCTTGACAGCATGGATGCTATCTAAAAGTTATGTACACATATCTGTGTTTTTAATATCGTATGAACTTTGACTACAGTTCGTCTCTGACTCTTCTTTTTCAAATGAACCACATTTCACATTGAACCAGGAAGTCACTGAAGCAAAAAATGCAAACCTCGGGCCACATGCAAATAGCAACTAAGGTCAGTCGCGCTACGACACACAACAGTACAAATAAAAGACAGTCAGATTTCTCTTTGTAGCCTACATGTTGTGAATGTCATCGAAATTGCAGTGCATGGAGTTTTAAATGTAAACCTTTGAATTCAAGGTTTAAAAGCTAAAACATGATCTCTATGCAAACATTTAGTCATTGTGGTTTTGAATAACTAAAATTACACTTTTAATGTTTTTCAAGGTGTCACAGAACACAACCACATCATTAAAGAGACCAAACATCTCTATTAGACCTTTTTGTCTAATTTACAACAAAATCTTGTGAGAGTGAACGTAATCTCATTATGCTCTTCAAACACGCTTACCAAGAATGAAGACATTGTTCTTTTTCATTCTTAGGTTAAGGGGATATAGGTATTTTCTGTTCCTTATTCTTAAGGCTTTTTAGCTTACATGTCTTTGCTTCAGCTTGTGCCACATTTGCACACATTTCCATTACACATGCACATATGGCACTATTAGTCAAGACACTAATAGAGAAGTGTTTTTCTACAAACCCAATTAGATTAAAAATGCAAACTATTCAGACTAAAATATCAAAAATGTGGTTTTAATCTTCAGTGAAGTAACAATAATAATTTCACCTGTTAAACAGCCTTTCTCCCACTGGTTAAGTAGAGGCTCAGACTTTATCACAAACAAAAGGATTATACTGCATTGTTTTAGACTTTTGTCACTTTTTGCACTGAGCTGTTTGACCTTAGATTTCTTCGCCAGTCGCGGGTCTCCTGGTTAAACAATACAAGAGGTGGAAACAATCACTGTTACAGCTCATAAAGATTACATAAAGTCTTAAAATGAAATGTGAATGAAAAAATACATAATTTATAGATTGCCTCTCTAATGTTTTACTTCCTTCTTGCTTTCTGCCTCAGGTTTATGGATCTACTCTTCTTCCTTTTTTTTGCCATTTTCTGTTAGACTTAGATGACACCGTTGCAGCTGTCAAGCTTTAAAATACTGAATACAAAATACTTCCACTGTGAAACCATGTATATTTTCAGTATTTGTATTTCTAAATGTTTACCTGTTGGTCTGTATCTTACCTATATTTTAACAGCACCCCCCTGAAGACCTGAAAAAAAATGATGTTTCGAAGCTGTCTGTTTTTTTTATTATTTCTATGGGAAATCAATGTAAGGGGGAATACATAAATAAGTGTTTTTATCAGGTACAGTAGGTTTATAACTTCATTGTTTGTAATTTACAGAAAAAAAAATTATGTAACCTGCTGTCTATGGTTTTCCAATCACGGCTACACCTTCGAGTTGTGCTCAGATATCTGTATAATATCCACATAAAGCTTCTTATTAGTCATTCTGTTATACGAGATGAGCTGTCACTGCAGAAAGTCCCCTCTGCACCATCGTCTTTATTCACATAATTTATTCACATGATGATGAGGCTTCGACTCACTTACTGTGTGACGCTTGGAGCGCAATCACCTACTGCTACCTCGCACGCCAATCTCCTTTTCAGAACATGCAAGAAAAGTAGGAGTTTGTATTTTTTTTTTTTTGTAGTTTGCAGTCAGACCACATTACCCAGAATGCCGTGTGGGAGCGAAAGTCGCCGCACCTTCGCCGGGTGGAGCTTGTGAACGTGGGAACGTTTCTGTGTGTTGCTGCTGCTGCTGCTGCTGCTGGAGTAAAAAAAAAAAAAAAAAAAAAAAAAAATTGTTTGACAGGGAGGTGAGGCGACCTGCGAGAAGGGATTACACAAGAGAAGGGAAGTTTTAGCGCGCGTGTGTGTGCGTGTGTGTGTGTGACAGTTTCCCAGTCAACTTGGAGGCAGACTTAGGGGGCGCGACAAATGATTTGTACGAGTGTAAGCAACAGGGCACGGAGCGAAATGTCAGGGACTGTTTCAGCCTCGAGCAAAGGGAAGCGCGACTAGTACACCGCAACGCGGAAAAAAAAATATTCAGGGGGGTGAGAATGCGAATGGTGCGAAGATACCGAAATCAAACAAAATGGAAACGATGTAGCGTCGCTGCGGCATTTCATATAGATAGAACTAACGTTAGAGTAGAGGATAGATAGCTAAGGAGCTAGCAGGTTAACTAACATACATGTAAAGTTATTCCCCGGAGAAACAGAGCCCGGAGGCGTCTGTTGAGTCACAAGAGTTCATCAGTATCTTCCCCCCCCAAAAAAGAAGACAAAACAAGAAGATGCTACGGAGAGGACTCACCCGTTTGGTATGTGTTGCCTTGTCTTAACACTACAACACACACACCCATATATAATAAACATTGTTAGCTTATTACATCCTGCTGCTGCTCACTGCTAGCGTTGTGTTAACTGCTGGGGGGTTTTTCCGTGGAAGAATGTGAGCCTGGTTAATTTCATTCATTCCCCCCCCTCCTCCTCCTCCCCTTGTCTTCCTTGTGAAATTCATGAGAAACTACAGGGCATAAAACAAACTGTTACTTCACACTGCCTGCTAACACGAAGCAGCTGGTGTCTCACTTCGTTAGTGAGCCTGTTTAGATAACTGCTGGTTAAGTTCCCGAAAGAGCCAGGAAGTCACGACAGATGTAAAGCTGACAGGAAGAGCCCTTAAAACACTCGTCCAGGACACATATGAGAGCTAGCTTTTCACCATGGAAACTCACCTTCTTAACAACTCCTGTCATCAAATGTAAAGTGATAAGAAAAAGAGAAAAAAAAAGCCTCTCACTTGTATATTATATAAAACAGCCTTTGAAACTGAAGCTATATTAAGAGCGCGTCAACCCTTTCTCCAGGGACCTGGGCTGCTTTTCTCTAAGGTCCCAAAAGGCTAAAAATATACCCTCGTTTTAAATGCACAATGACACGCATCCAACCACATGTCCTTCCCCCTGTGCAACTTTAATGGTTTACATGTGTCGATTAATCGCAGGAAATCAAATCAGCAACACATTTCGTCAGTAGATTTGTTGTAGCCTTTTAACCATCTGAAAGTCTACAGGCGATCACTTGTTCTTGTTTGTGCACCTTGTTAAAGCTGAATATTTGTTGGCTTTCGTTTAATTCATATAGCCTACTTTTAAATTTACAGTCCATGTCTAAATATTTTTTTTCAAACACTTGACACAAAAGCATTGAAGGTCATTGCAATGTTTCTTTTGTCTGACTTAGACTCGTGGACTTAACCATTGATCACTTTATGGAGAATAATAATCAATATTAATCATAGCCCTCCTGAAGATGCACAGGAGTTGTCACTAACAATCTTCACGTGCTCTTGTGTTACTTCTATGCATTAGCTAAGTATAAATAAGACGTGAGTATTCTGCCAGGTTGAACTGCTTTGACCTCCTATTTCATGATTGGCCAATTTAATGCTTACCCTTTTTAAAGTTTCCTCCATTGGTTTCATTGCCTTCCTCACATGTTAATCAATCACGGGCTGGCTAGTTAAGAGTGGAGGAAGTCTCTGCGATGGAAGGTTTATAAATGCTGAACCACCTTTAGTGCTGCTTTATCAGCCTTATGCACCACTAACCTGTTGTCACCGCTTGGTTGAATCCCCCAAAGGCTCTGTGAGCAGTATAGATACTGACAGTGAATAAAGGGAAGCAATATAATAATTATAGTGCCTGACCCTCCTCCTGGCCTCCCTCTAAGTGTTGCCAGGTCAGCTGGTTTTCCTGCTTCTGGAGAGGATTGCTGCTGTAATTTCTCTTCAGTGTGAGCTGTAAATAATATTTTGTGCGGAGCAGCCAGCCACACTGTCAGGATGCACACACAGTGCCGTTATCTCGGGCTCTGGCTCCCTGCCTCCTGATTCACACCATCCTCCCCTTGCCCACGGGAGGTACATGCGCATCATGAAGAGGGAGAACGACAAAGAGAAAATGTGGGATTGCCTGCTCATGCCAGAAGGCACAGAGGAAGCTCCACGTGTCTCACTTGACTCTCTCACTATGGTGCACTGTGCCACTAAACCCTGAGTGTGTCTTTTGGAAACCATTAAAGATGGCTGTGGGAACGATCAAGACCAGGTTTTGTCATTGGGGGGGGGGATGAGGGGGTGATGCTCCAGAGGTTGTAATACTCTGACAGGAATGCAAAATCACACACTTCCTTTTGATGTTCGTTCAAGCCCTTGAAGGCTCCAGTGTGATCTGTGAGAGGTGGAGCCTGGCAGAAATGTGATAGTATTCATGGTGGGAGCCCCTGCCTTGACTGAATGGCGAACAGCACCGACCCATGAAAACACCATCAGCCAAGCAGCACCTCGCAGTGTCTTTTTTTTTTTTAGGCCTCCTCCTACTCTGTGGCTCGATGAAATCACACGTGTGAAGCTTCTGCGTTATGTGACTGTTGTAGTATTATTCTTCCTACTCTGCATTGAAGTCGTGCAGTAAAGTTGAGCAGCCTTGCGCACACTTAGAAACTCCACAGGTGTTCTTATCCTGCACACAATGGCAGGATATAGCCACACTGACACCAACGGAAGGGCTTTGTGTTTGGGTTCTGTAATAACGCAGTGATGCAACAATTATTCAGTTCTTTGATAATCAGCTAATCTTTAAAGTTCTCTGTTAAGCCAACAAAAATGGCAAACATTCTCTGGTCCCAATTAGCTTCCCAACTGTGAGGATGTTCTTGTGATTTTTTTTGTAGAACATGAAATTCAACTCAATATCTTTTGGTTTTATTTTATTTTTTTACACATCTTATTTCCAGAACGATTAATCAAGTAAATAATTGGCAGATTAATTGCTCATTAAAATAATGTCAGTTGGTGGTAGCTCCCTTAAATCTACTTAAACATTTAATTGTAAAACATAATGCTAGATGAACCGTTTCATGGTTGTAATTTATCTTTCCTGTGTAGAGTAGAAGTTGTCAAGGTTGGTTTAATTTGGCATCATGTGCCAAGACTTAGGTTGCATTTTAATATCCGCCTCTCTTGGGGTTACTTTGGACCGCTTGCAGGCTGCAATGTGTTCTGTCTCAGAAGCATTTTCAAACACTAAAGACATTCCAGCAAACAGGTTTTTCCTTTGGTTTAGATTTCAATTCATAGGCACTACAGAGATGTCATGGCATTGCACAAGTCATTTCCATAACATAGAACATCCACCTTTGATGCTATGTGCTTTTTTTCTTGTGGCTTGATACAGCTTTGAAGTGCATCTTTTGAGGAGGAGGATTTTATTCTAAGTCTAAGGGGGTTCTCCATGTTCCTTTCTATAATGCTAATCCTGTTATGTTCTAAGGCCTGCATTATGAAATATGTTCTGACTCTGCTCAGGGTGCAGCACTTCTCTGGTGCTCCTCTATCTCAGTCGGGCTTCCCCCTCACCTTTCTGCCCTCCTCTCCATCTCTCTTCGGACTCTCTACCCTACTGCAGGGTGAAGGACGCACTGAGGTCTGCCACTGTCAGATGTGTCCCTACTTGACTGTGACCCGGGCACCTAAGCAAACCCTCCCCAGGCAGGAGATGTAGTTATGTGTGAAGGATTGCATGTCAACACCAGGGTTCTGTAAACAACCGTAATTTCTCCGCTCAGCCTGCAGCACCCTCAGCTCTGGGGCACACTCAAAGATGTTGACATTCACACACAGCAGCACTTGAAGGTGATTTTGTCCAAACATCTTTTTATTACACACGCAAGATAATAGTTCCCTTTCTGAGAAACCAACCGGTATAATTTCCCCTAGGGGAAGCTAATGTTTTGTTCAGTAATCTATCTGGTTAATTAGTCAAATGTCCCACATTGAAACACTCAAATGTACATTATTCTTATTTCAGTACTGTATTTCCGTTTTACTACATCATCTGTGTTTCTTAGAATATGTTTTCTGTTTTGCATTTTGGTCAGTCTTTCTTCTATGTACTCATCATGTCTGTGAGCAGCAAGTAGAACCTGTTGGAAAATATTAGGGGCTTTTATTAACTGACGAGATACAAGAGTCTTTGAACAGAGTTGTCACTTTTTGGGTGAGTAATTAGGGTAAGAGTACATCTGAAGGCCACAGACCACACAATAAGCATGCAGGGCAGTGATTTATCAGGCCTTTTTGATTAGGAGAGATGCGTATTGATTAGGGCTGTACTCAGTTTTGCCGCCATTAGTCTTGTATCGCGAACAGGCTGGCCAACAGAATTGCTTACTCTGATTTTCTTTCTCTTCCTTCCTCTCTGTCCGTCTGGTCTCATGCATTCTGCCCAGTAATGGAAACCCAGCCAAAGGAGCTCATCTGCAACACACAGCAGGATAATAAATATATTTAGTGTGAGGAGGGAAGGAGGTGGTGTGAAGGAATAAGTGGCTGGCTGTGGGGTTAGCAGGCTGATGAAATATTGTGGGGGAGTACGGAAAGCCCTGCGTGACTCAAACCTGAGAAACTGGAGTGAAGCTGAGGGGGAAGGTGGACCTGTAGCCTCTTTGCACCTCTCCATCTCCTTCTCCACCTAATGGATGAGGCTCTTTTGGGTTTCCTGCAGTGGTTAACATTGAAGTGGGCAGGTTTGCTTGGATACAAGGGGACCACGGATGGCTTTTTGTGGCAATTTTCCACTTCCCTTTAAAAGCCAGGTTGAATTCTCAGTTTGTATCTCTGAATAATTCAGGTTGCTTCATTTATTTTGAATTCTCCTCACATCGCTCCTCCCTTTTCCTGACCCAACGTATCCTTGCCAGTGTAGCGGCACTCAAAATGCATCCTTCATCATCCATATATGTATAAAGGCTCATCCAGAGATTTTCTGTGCTATGCTACAGCTCTAGCATTGCTCAGAGAGCATCGCAGTGAGATGTGGAGGGAATGCTGAGGTGTGTGTGTGTGTGTGTGTGTGTGTGTGTGTGTGTGTGTGTGTGTGTGTGTGTGTGTGTGTGTGTGTGTGTGTGTGTGTGTGTGTGTGTGTGTGTGTGTGTGTGTGTGTGTGTGTGTGTGTGTGTGTGTGTGTGTGTGTGTGTGTGTGTGTCTCTTTTTTATTTTCGTCTGTGTCTATGTCTCACTCTCTGTGTCTGAGCACGCAGGGAGAAAGAGGAATGGTAGCATCTGTGACGTTTCATCATCCCATTTTTCCATAGTCACCTGAAGTGATGGTAGTGCACTCGCTGACATCGAGAGGGGAACCGCAGAGTCCCCGAGAGGATTTAACGAGTGCTTGAAGGCAAGCGAACATGCCCTCTCCCACACATGCTCTTATGAACACCTCAGATAAGCATCAGCCTACAATTATTATCTCCACGG